CCACTGATCCACAGGATCACAGAAAAGGCCTTGGAATGCTTATTGTGTGGCAATAATTAGTTTTTTGCACAGGAGTCACAACATTTGCAGAACCTAGGAATACAAAGCCAAGTCAATTCCACAGCCAAAACAAATACAACTCCTCTCAACTGTACAAAATGCCATACAGATAGACACTACCAAACAAGTAACATAGCATTGACTATAATCCTGCCTGGTGATGTTAAAAGTGAACTTCAAAAGGTTTTTTTGCGTAGCCAATAACAGATAAAACATACTGAAGAAAGCCAGTATCGGTTTCCACTGAAAAATCTTTCTTGAGTTGCACAGAAAATGCTAAATCAGCGTGGTCCAATGCACGGCACCCCTCGGCAACATTTGACGCCCCGGCTCTGAGGCACTGGGCTTTGGGAAGGAGGCATGACGACTCTTGACAAAATCCTAGAGTCCTCCTGCCTCCTTTCCAAAGCCTAGTTAGTGCTTCCCCAGCTTTGGGAAGGAAGTAGGGGGGCTTTGGGATCCTGCCAGAGCCTTGTGCCTCCTTTCCTAAAGCCCAGCATCTTGCTTAGCTAGCTTTGGGAAAGCAGCTCAAGGGCTGGGGGAGGGGAGGGGCTCGAATTTTGGCCTCACTCCCCTGCCATGTGACAAAGCAGTGTGCAGACTGTGGGTTCCATGTCAAAGTACTCTTCTGGCCCACTTGCTATGAAATGTTGGACCACCCTGGGCTAAATTGTTTGTTAGACAGTGCAACAAAAGGAAAAGGTATTATATGCAAGATTCAGAAAACAGCAAAAGAGGAGTGTGGATAAAATGAGGGAACCTTTACCTTACCTAAAGCTTAGCTCCAGCAGTCCACATCCCCTGCTCTCCTTCTCTGAAGACATATGTTTGAAGCATATGAATCTGCTGTCCTAACCTAGCTTGGCCCTTAAGCCACCTGAATACATTTCTATACAAGTGGGTCCATCTTCTAATGCATGCTGTATATGAAGCAGGTCAGTTCATTTAGATCTCTGCTTCTCACCACCTCAAGGTTATATTGTAACCTAATCTGAGTCTCTGTCTCACTTTACCCTGTGAAGCCCATTATTTATCAAAATGTGTTCTTATGTGCCAAGAAGCTGATTGACTGATGGCAGAGTAGCAATTTGAACTTGGGTTTCCCACACCCAACCATTATATTCTACCACTGCTTCATATTTTCTGAAGTTTCACTCATTCCCACAATAAAAAGGAAAGGAGTTAGAAAACAGCCTGATTATTAGAAGAGTCTTGCCATTTATGTTCAAACTACAAAAGTCTTACAGTTAGGTTAAAATGAATACTTCACTCTCTTATACTGTATTGGAAAGCAATCAGAAGTGTCAAACAGCTACAAGAAAATCTACAGAAGGCCTCTGTAGCAAAACCAAAGCCAAACACAATTCTTACTTGGAAACAACTAAGGTTAATACTTGCAGCCCAACTTTTCCATATTCAGCCATACACTTTAACAGGAACTTATATACACATTTCTATACGCCAGTGAAAACATCTTTTTTGAAGCTGAAAAGTTAACAGTTGAAGTTACTTTGCTATTATTTCCCAAGTAAATTAATATATGTGGCAAGACAGCTATAGAAATAGATACTAGCTATAAATGAAAGCACACAGGAGGTACATTTTGCCAAAATTGAGTTGTGTCACGTAACGAAAGTTCATCATAATTGTCTACTTAATATTCATATTTGTGCTGTACTAGAACAGCTATAATTAGCTTCAAATTTACAATTGTAAATCATCAGACTCTATGATTGCAAGTAACAGTGCTTAGCAATAACTTGACATTTGAAATGCATACTGGCAAGGAAGCTAAATAATTAACACAATTATTTGATATCTCCTATATATACACAAATTAACACCACCATGGCAAGATGAGACTTCCATTAGAAAAATGAAGTTGACAGAAATGCAAGACCGTCTTATGAATCACTGCAAATACTTTGCACTAGGTTCCAGGCCATACACAAATATAATTATGTAATTGCATAACTAATGCTTACTCCACTTCATGTTAGCAAAGGGTATTTTTTACATTTTGTATAAATTTCTGGTGCTGAAAGCCAGGACATTTCTACTACATGACTATAAGCTTTAACTTTCAAATTTCAATTTCTTTCATGAAGCAAGCACTCTAGGAAAAAAGCTTAGACAGATCGCTTGGGGGAGTAATAGTAATTTTATCAGTCTCCCAAGTTTTCCTTTATGTCCTCTACTGAAAACTACACTATTTCACTATCAATTTACATATTGATTATGTACTGATGTACATATGCTGCCATAGATCTGAAAATAATCACCACAAATCATCTTACTTCAAGGTTAGCCTCTACTACGATATTTTGCTATGTCAAACTGAAGACAAACATAAGCAGAAAGCTTTATTTCATAAGCTATTATAAAAACTATTAAGTAAAATAATCCCATTTCCTGTGTAAGTCTTAAATAAAGAACAGAAAGCTGCACATTCTTTAAGTACAACATTAAGCATTCAAAACCACACATTAAATTCAGTATAACACGTTCAAACTTAAACAAAATAAAGAATTACTGTATCTTGTTGCCCTAGAGACACTGTTACATTCATATGTTACATTCATACTCTATTCCACACAGACAATACAAGCACTTATTTTAGATATTGTAAACTTTCTCTAATTCTAGAAAGGAGTATGTTAACTGTAAAAAACCTTGAAGTGTGAACAATGGCAAAACACAAGAAGATCAGAGTAATTTATAACACTAACAGCACAGATAAGTTTTCATACCAAAACCTATGCTTGATATGTTTTGTTCCTCAGGCCAAAATATCACTGTTATGTGATGGCAAATATTCATAGGAACTATAACAGCTTGTGGGGCATAATCTGAATGCAGTCAAGTATTGCTCCCCATACAGCAGGAGGAATTTTAAGACAAAATAACACAGCTGAAAATACAGAAAACCCCATGATGAAAGGCTGTCCTAAAAACAAACTGCTAAACTCTGGCATCTGGATTTACCTTTGCTTATAAGAACTACAGTGGTACCTCTGGATATAAGAGTGCTTTAAACAGGTATGACCAGATGCGTCTTACTAAATGAACAGTCCTTTCAGAAAACTGACCAAAGAAAGGAAATCACCTTTCTTGCCTCTCTCTGCTGTTCATGCTTCTGCCATACAGAAATACTAATTTTATATGAAGAGATAGTGAACAAGCCCACAACTAGCCTAAATGATGGCTTTTAATAATGCTCATTCACTAATCTTCCCCAAGAGTAACATTAGCTTTCAGTAAACCTCAGTGCTCTATAAACTTTATTCTCTCACACAGCAATATACAAACAACTAGCTTTGCGGAGGAATCACTGGATTATGAATGCCACAGGGAAGGCTGAAACAAAAGGTTAATCACAATTTCACTCATAGATGAAAATCAGTTCAACAATGGTAGAAATCAAATGTAAGGCTAGGAGTGTATTGTAACATGAATCTGTTCCACTGAAAAGAGCTGCAGGGTCTACATCACAGATACAACATGCAAGAACCTGTTTGCTCAAGCATGAAGAACAATTACAACAGCTCCCTCCCCCAAATATACATGCAACTAAAAGCTTCCCCCTTCCATTGAGAATGAATGGCACAGAAACACAAACACATAAGAATCATGCATTATGGCAAACCCCAGCCTATGCAATGTTTAAATAGTTATAATGATTCTTTCCTCAACATAGATTGCCAAGATAGTGCATAAAAAACCTTTATTGTTAAACACCAAGGTTACAAGTAACTATGCCAAAAGTCAAAGATTTCCTACTATTCTGCCTTTAGCAATATTGTTATTTGTAAAAGAATAATTAATCCACTGTAATGAAAGTCAGACACCTTGAAACTACTAGGATGACAACCATATCTAACACTGTGCAAAGCAGGAGACCTTACTGGAACAAATCACATACAAACCCAGCTAAGGTTCTTTGCTACCACAAAGCTTGCCAGCCCCTCTCCAGGTTAAAGCAGGTCTTGCAAATGGAAGCTTTTGAATAACGACACTAATACTGGGGCGGAAGGTGGATACTGGAGTAAACAGGAAGGGCCAAGTCTGCTCAGGGAAGGGATTTAGCAGATGTGGAGGGGGGGGGGCTTGGAGAGAGAAGATATGTCAGGGTCAGGTTTGCCTTAGTGGGAAAACAGTGGTGGAAGGCAGCTGTACAGAAGGCAAGGAATAAATAAGACACAGGGAGGCCAAATATGCCAAGGAAAAATGGGCAGGCAGAGATTAGTGCTCCAGGAAGTAGCGAAGTCGGGTGACACAGGTAGGGCGATGTGTGCCCTGAAGGGTAGGAGATATGACAGAAAGATAGCTTCGTGATAAGGCGGCAAGAGGAGCGCAGGTTAGGAAAGCTAGATGCGCCAACACGAAGGAGGAAAACATAAGTAAGGGGGGAGGAAAGGGAGAGAACGGATGGAGGAAAGCGTACTTTGGCACTACAGGCAATGGCGAGGAGGACACTGCCCAGAGTAGAGGCTGGAGGGCGACAGGGCACTGTGTTTGGGGCGGGAGAAAAGAGCAAAAGAAAGGAAAACAGGGTGGCTGCGAGATGAACAAGGTTTGCAAAGGTGAACCTTACAATGGAGGAGACCAGGAAGGGACCTAAGGCGAGGCGGGGGGGGGGGCTGTTTGAAGAGGGGCAGGTGCGCCTGGGTGGAGCCGAGGGCGGCGACTCGAGAGGCCAGGCTCTCCCTCCCACCGAGAGGTTAAAAGGGTAGGGTGGAAGGGGGGAAGAGAGAAATAAAGAAGCCTCCTAACCTTCCCCCCCCCCTCGCGCGCAGCGGACGTTTCTCGCGACCGCCGGACGGACTGACCTGGCCGCACGGTCTTGAGGCGCACCGGCTCCCTGAAGTGGCGGATGACGGCCAGGGTGTCTCGGTGCGTGAGGCCGCTCACCGGGGTGCCGTTCACCTCCAGAAGCACGTCCCCCGGGGCGGGGGGCTTCCCCGAGAGCAGGACGGGGCCACTCCCGCCGCCGCCGCCTCCGGACTCGGCCAGCGTCGGCAGGCGGCCCCCGAGGTAAGGGAACTCTCCGCGCTCGGCGCCCCCGCGCAGGAGGTCGGGGTCCGGGCCGGGGCCGCCCCCCCAGGACACGGCGCACTCCTGCACCTTGCTCAGCCAGTGGCGCTTCCTCCGCAGCGTCTTAGACATGAGGCCACACCATGGGCGCCCCTCCGCGCGCGCGCTCTGCCCGCTCCCCGGTCCCGCCGAGCTCCCCTCGCGGCCGGCCGGCCAGCCCAACCTCCCGCGCGCGCGCCCTCGCGCCTCCTTCGGCTACTACCGGCCGCGACTGCCTCCCAACTGGCGCCCTCAGCGCGGCGGCGGCGGCGGCGGCAGGAGCACGCCCCCTCCTCCCCTTGGACACACCTCTTTCGCCTCCTCCCTTCCCCTCCCCGCCGTTGTCTTAAGCCCCGCCCGACATTCCGGGGGGTGGGGCCAAGTGGGTTGACGTCAGGAGATAAGAACTTTCAGGGACCGGGGAGAGGGGGAGGGGTTTGCGGCAAGAACTTCGGCGGGGAAGGGGAGGCGCGAAGCAATGGAACCCTCGGCCTTGCCCCGGAGCAGCTCCGCAAACTCCGACCTGAAGCTGCTTTTCCGTCGAAGTTCGCAGTACCCGCGAAGCGTGCTTGCAATTGCGACAGACGCGGTCGGAGCCCCTCGTGGTCTTCCTCTCCACCAGTATGCCCAGAGGGAGAAGTCGAGGTTGTTCCCGGGAGGCAGAGGCTCCTCCGCCTCGCCACTGCCTTTCGTCTCTGCTCCCTCTGGGCATTCTGGATCGGGCCCATCCTGCCGTCTAGAGGAAGAGACCCAAGTGAACCGAGGCAGCAGTCAGAGGCAGCTGCCTTCTTGGCTTCTCCTCCAGAGCAGGCAGCCAGGCATGAAAGAACAGTTGCAAATAGTATGGTGGCACCTTAATGAATCATTAAAAAGGCATTGCAGCGTAAGCTGCAGTCTACTTTGTCAGGTGCATGAAGTCCTGCAACGGTGAGAATCCGGTCAGAAAAGTTGATGAGCTTCTATTTTTTTGGCGAAGCTGTGTTGTGCAGGAGATGGAGCAGTAACTTCTGAGGAACAGTGACTTCTGCTATCCTGCTCACTTCCTCTGGGCTGCAGAGGTGGGCCCAACTCCCACCACAGACCAGAGGAAGAGTCAAGGTGGCTGCTCCTATAAACTGACACCCACTCAGTCCCACTTTGGGTAGGAGAGAGAAAGGAGTAGGTGCCCCTGCTGTCAGCAGTGGTGACTTCTGCTCCAAAGTGTCAGCTACTTATGCGTGGCTGAGGGGCCCTCCCAAATTGCTGGGACCTCAACAGTTGCCTGATGCTACTGACCTCTGACCCCCCCCCCAGCTCTGGTGCCAAGGGAAAGTGGTTGGGCTACTTTGAATGGTGCAGTTATAAGTCCTTGTATTTGACCTTAGCTATTTCATAAACAAATCCAAAGTACTTTTACTTGAAATTCTCACGTGCCAATGGAATTTACTGCCAAATCCATGTTCTCAGCTTTGCACACTGTGAGCCTGAGCAAATGCGTGCTTACTTGAAAATTATTCGGAGCAGAGTGGGGCTTAACCCCAAGCATGCATAGCAATTTAGCCTCTGAATATTTGCACACATAAATTGTGAAAAACAATACAGAAGGTGCTCAAAGGTACCCTGTTCCTATTAAGAACAAGGACAGTGACTTAAGCATTTAATGGGCAAAAGCCATACTACAGTAGCTTCCTTTTCATACTATATCGGATGCTTACCACGATTACAGTAAAGCCCAAAGTAGGAAGTAAGTCTCAAGATAAAGAACCATCAGAAGAGAGAGCAGAGAGCTTGAAGATGATCAAGGGTCTGGAAACCAAGCCTTATGAGGAACTGTTGAGGGAGTTGGGTATGTTTAGCCTGCAGAAGAACGGACTGAGATATGATAGTCATCTTCAAATATCTGAAAGGTTGTCACATGGAAGATGGAGCAAGCTTCTTTTCTGCTGCTCCAGAGGGCAGGACGCATACCATTGGATTCAAAGGAGATTCTAACTAATCACCAGGAATAACTTTTAAGGTAGCAGGAGTTGTTTGCCAGTGGAATAGACTTCCTTAGAAAGTGACGAACTCTCCTTCATTGGAGGTTTTTAAACCGATTGGGTGGCCACATGTCATGGATGCTTTAGCTGAGATTCCTGCATTGCAGGGGGTTGGACTAGATGATCCTTGGGGTACCTTCCAATTCTACGATTCTGTGAGAAGTAAGTCTTATTTAATTATGCTGGACGGACTTACTTGCAAGTGAATGGGGCTACGATTGCACTGCCAGTTTCTGAAACTTAACCTTTGTACATTTCTGCCCATCACCAGCTACATGTCCCCTTCTCTCCGTTTTCCCTATTAAACCAAATGCAATTCCATAAGAACCACTGTTGTGTTAACAGCTCTCTAATAAAAGTACAGGTTGCAATATTTTTCTTCAGATATATTTGATTAGCATAGGAGAGAAAGAAAGGAACATAAGGTGTAAGATTTTCTGTACACACACCTCACTGCCACAACCTTCAATATTTATTTTATGAAATTGCGACTCCTTGCTTGACTACCACAACATTTCAAGCCCATTGCCATTCCCAGGAGTGTCACAGCAACAGGCCTTTGTTTGATACCTGCACATTTTTTTATAGCAAGAAACTCAAGTCAGGCACAAAGCACATGAGAGCAGCAGGACTTGCAATACAAGACGCTAAAACCATTCCAAGTCCAGCTCTACTAATCCACCTCAGTATAACTTGCCTTTGCATTAATTGTTTCTTTACCTTGTTTACTCTGGCCTGCTATGGAGTAGCTCCTATGTACAGACTTTTCCTTGCCTGGTGCTCTCCAGCTGTTGTTGGACTCCAGCTCCCATCATCTCTGACTGTTGTTCATGCTGGCTAAGGCTGATGGGAGTTGGAGTCCAACAGGCACCTAGAGCGCACTAGATTGGAAAAGGCTGCTATGTAAATCTCCCCCACTCCTTCCCTCAATTATCACCCAATATTAACAATGAAGCAGGGAAAACAGGGACAGCAAAAATCTGCTAGCAGGCTTCTTCAGAAGTGAAGTGTCTTGGTCTTGCCCCACATTCCACATCCACTTCTCAGTAGCAGCTCCTGGATTCCATAACTTTCTGCCTGTGTGCACCTAGCTCCAACTTTGGTAGTATTCAGAAGACAAAACAAAAGTTTTCCTTTTCACCCAGGCTTTTGAAAACTCTTGTTTATTGTTCAGCCTCTGTTAATTGTTTTACTTGATGCATTGATTATTTTTGTATTGAATTTTCCTGTTTTATTGTGATATAACACAACCTGGGACTTTTTGCTGAATGGTGGAAAATAAACGTATCTCATAAATAATACCTTCAAAATTGCTCCCAGGTGGCTTATTAAACAAAATGGCAATAAAAATACAATAGTAATAAAAGAAAACAAACTTTTAAGAATTGGAACAGAAAACCAGTAAAACAAACATAAAAATCTTATACAAAATGCTTATGCAGCTAAAAAAAATCTTTACATGGTACTGGCAAGATAACAATATAAGCAACAGGCAAGCCTTTCTGAAAAAGTATTCCACGATTGGTGTCCTACCACTGACAAGGCCCAGTGTATAGTTGGCATTCACCATAACGCGCAAATCCACGGGTTAGGGGGCGCAAATCCACGGGTTAGGGGGCGCAAATTACTTGCCTTGCCCCGGGTGCTGACAACCCACGCTACGCCACTGACCATAACCACAACAGTGAAGGTACCTCTGTAGCAAAACCAAAGCCAAACACTGGGTGTGCACTGGGTGTGCAGGGAGAAGAGAGGATGGGAAAGTTTTATTGTGCTGCTAAATATCCTTGCAGGAGTGGAAATGTTTAGTTGGACACCACACCTTGTTTTTAGAGCTACAGGCAATGCAGGATATTCTACACTACATCAATTGGTAAACGAAATAAAATTTGACCAAACAAGGATGTGGAGCCCTCAGATCTTCCATACAACCTCCACATAATGTATTCCTGTCCTGGTAATATGTGTACAGTGGTACCTCGGGTTAAGAATTTAATTTGTTCCAGAGGTCCGTTCTTAACCTGAAACTGTTCTTAACCTGAGGTACCAGTACCTGATAGGGCTCCCACAATGATCTCAGGCACGTTCACATGAAGCTAGGTAGAATTTTATATATTGGTATTACAGGAGGTATTGCCTGAAATTAATTAGGGTTTTCAAATTTTAAATATAACTTTTCTTATGTGGATCTCCATTCCAGACATATGGCAGACACTTTTTATTAATTGGCTTTTAATGTGCAAAGTGCTTTATGAGTTTCAAGCCCCAGCGAGCACAGTGGGATTTACTTCTTGAGAAGAATACCATTCTTCTCTGCACCTTTTCACCAACACAGCCATCTTGAGAGGGGGGTCATTTGTAATTACCATTTAAAATGGGTATTTTGTGAGTGTCACTTGCTCAAAGCTACCCTACATAGTTCTCAGATTCATGATCAATAGTCACTGGGTACCATATAAGAAAGGAGTTTTGCGGTATTTTTTGTTGTCTGCTATTCAGGCCCTATTCAGTTGTACAAGGATAAACAGGCACAAGTTTTATCTTAGTTTGTTATTTAACTGGCTTGAATAAAACAAAGTATCCTGTATCTGGATGTAACAGAAAAACAGAATCTATGAACTGTCTCCCACTGTGTGTGAAATCAGGAAGGTTCATACCTACTTGCTTTCCGAATGCTAAATCATAATTTAGAGTTATGTCTGAACTGGATCTTAAACATGGACCCTCAATACAATATTTTACCATGACATTTCAGTTCAGCTTTAAACTGAAAAACAGAACAAACATTTTTCAAATTTAACTAGGAAACTTTCTCAGTGGTGCTATGGACATGCATTCAATTGATTAAATTTGTACTTCAGTGTAAATGCTGGATTCTGTACTTAAAAAGGGCAATGTTTGTCTTGTAGCTTGTTATTTGCATTCAATGTGGAGTTACACTGG